AGCTAAACTAGGTTAGCTGAATGGATATTAACGAGTATGAGACAGCTGACAGATGCTCATTAGTATTAATATTATATTAACTGACCGATACTACTTAAACTGTCTGGTACATGATAGTAATCTGTACTATATTGTGATGCGAGCACACAAGTTTAAGTCAACATGGTTAACTCAAGCTGCTCCCCAGCTGCTTCTCCTCAATCTCTCTGCTTTGGCCGATGGTTTCTCCCTTTAGTTCGTCTCTGCTCTCTGGGGCGTGCAGCAAACTCATAACTTTATGGTTCTGGTCCATCAGAAGTAGAATTACAAACATGTAAAGTTTCCTCTGTGTCAGAGCCGCATTAGAGTCCAGATTTTCTCTGGATTAAGGTAACAGGACTCCCTCAGCTGACCTCACTTGGTTTGGTAAAAAAATTTTTTAAGAATTGTCACAAAAATGACTTTAAAAGCCTAAATAATTAATGTTTGTGTAAAAAAAAACGTTTAAAACGAGTTTCTATTATGTTTCTCTAAACATCGGTTCATGGGAGTCCTGCAATCTGCTCTTTAACAATGTTAATTAAATTTTAAAAAAGGAAAACTGTATTTAATTATTTTACAGCTGAACTGATAATTTTCCAGTTTGGTCTCAGAAGGTCCATATCTGACATGTTGGTTGTGGTACCTTGTACTGACAGTTGGGGGCAGTGTGGAGCTGCAGGAGGACACTTGAGGTGTTGTCTGGTCGACTGGTGTGGAGCATCCCTGAGATCTCGGCCACTGACGGGACACTACACAAAGATCCCATCGGGTCATGTGACTGCCACAGGAAGCTTGAGAGTGGGGTAGAGAAATCTCACCTGACTGTGGTGAAGGAGTCCTCTCTGAACCAGGGCACCTTCATCCGATACACGCTGGGTAACCTGTCTGCACAGGGCCGGGCTCACGATTACATCTTGGTATGTTCAGTGGATCCAGATTAAACCAGACAAACTCACCTTTAGTCACTTTGCACTGACTCACAAGGCTGATTCTGAACGCCTGGTAGACCTGCACACAGAGATGTGTTTAAGGTTGTCCGTTAACGTAGGACAGACGAATGCTGACGCTAACGAGAGCAGACACCTACCTGGTGAAAGTGGAGCAGCTGGATGTTATGAAGGAGTCCAGACGAGTTCACCAGAACCTCACTGGCTGTAAAACCTGAAGAACCGACAGGGGCTTGTCAGTTTGAGATAACATCACAGTTGGGTCCTATCCCACCATTTAAAATAAACAAAAACACAACCTCTATTAACTCATTCACTGCTGGCCGTTTCCTGATTGGTAAAGGCCTTCGCTGCCAGCGTTTCTCATGGATTTTATAAGAGTCACAGAACGTTGCGCGCTAGGATGATGTCGACGCCAAAACTACCAAAACAAAGCGTAGACTCACCTCTTACATCAGGAAGAATCCGCGCGTTTCGAGCGTTATCCGTTGTTTCATAATCCGTTGTTGAATTGTGATCGGCAGAAGCTTTTCCCGTTCATGCCTCACTTTTTTTACAGCAGCGGCCCAAAATGAACTCCTACCACATGGATGTTCTGCTTCCTGATCATGTGACGTGTGACGTATGCGGATGATGATCAGCTTTAGAGCTGAGATGTTTGTTCTAGCGGTGCGGGGGCTCGTTCGCATGCCCACACAGTAAAAACATGTAAACGACGACTTTAGTCATCATTGGTAGTGAACGGTTGGATTTAAAATGATGACTTTTGTCGTCAATCGCAGTTAATGAGTTAATGTAGGGGTTACCATGGCAACCTGCAGGAACTGAATAGTCACAGTTATATTTTCCAACAGGTCTTGTTTAAAAATACTTTAACATTTCAGCTACATTTATACTTGATTATTTCTAATACTCTTATCAATTCTCCACAAACAGAAATCTCACATAGACTCGCTTCCTGTTTAAATGACAAAGGGAACAAAAACACGGTCCGACTTGTTCATCAGAATTCCTTCATTTCAGAAATCAACTAAATCTAGCTTCATGTTTTCATTCCAGACTTCATTTGTTTTTACTTCAGATTACTTTCGCAGCTCCAGACTATCGAGTTGGTAAAAAGACGCTGAAGAGACGAGTCGCACACCTTGGAAACAGAATGTTGAAAAATAACTCACCTAAAGACAGAACATGAGGCACGGACACGGTCAGAGTCTGAGCCTCCTGCCTCTGCCACTCACACTCCACTGTGCCCTACAAACAAACAAACAAACAAACAAACAAACAGCTAGGAACTGAAGCTCCTTTTACTCATTAGTTACTCCATCCAGAACATCAAGGTAACGGGTTTATTAATCTATTAGAACATTAGTGCCTTAATTCTGACTCCAGTTACTTTAACTATTTTGTTTTCTTGTGATTAATGAAAATCACAGAAATCAGAGCTGAGTGAAGGCTGCATTAGGGGTAAAACTACAGAACTGTCTCGTTTAATCTGTTTTAATCCCAGAGTTGTAAAGTAATCATATTCTATCATCTCTAAGTTCTGCTCCGGTTCAGGAGCTCAGGTGTATTTACCGGTTTGCCATTGAGGTTAGAGGCAGAAACAACCAGATGACTAACAGCAGACAAGTCGCCCAGACGCAGAATCAGGACCTGAGACAGAAACCAGACCGTTAGGAGCGGCACCAAACCGGTACCAGATGCAGTCGCTTCCTCAGGATAATAACCTTGTAAGGTGGCAGAAGTTCTGTTCCTGAAGACAGGTCCACTGCTTTCACACTAAAGACAGAGACAAGCGGCTGTGACTCATAAACACATCCCAGTTTAATGTTTAAAACCAGACAGTCAAACTGGTACCATGAAGACCCATTCCTCTGCACGCAGCCGAACACCCAGCTGCTCGTCTCCTGTTGGAAGGTAAGAGCACCACGTCTCACTCTGACGAGTTTCATCGTGTAACAGGTAACAAGCAGAGGACACAACTCACAAGGTTGTTGCTGCGACAGTAGAAGTGGCTGTAGGCTGTCCTGCGACTCGACAGCGCGAACAGGAAGTACCTGACATGTCCTTCCTATTAACAAGAGCATAATGCCGCTCAGTGTTGATTTTCTGTCCGAGTTTGTCACAGGATTCCACACCAGTCTGCATAACTGGCTTCAAATATCTCAAACGATAGACTCGGGTACCGTTGGTGTGCTGTAGGACAGACGGAGGGTGTTGACTTCAGTCCAGGCTTCAGGGAAATCTGGGAAAAGGAGGAAAGAAGAAGAAAGGATTTTTTTAAAATAGAGCCTCTTGGGATAAAAATTCACAAGGCGCATGGACGTAATTTTCACTTTAGAAGTGGGGGGCATGGGGGGGGGGGGTACACGGGGGGTCTTTACAGTATGCTCTAATGGGAAACAGTCTTCAACACAAACGGTTGTTTTCTGCTTGGTCCTAGAGCTCAACCAGTGTCAATTTAATATAGCGTAATATTGTTTTTGGAACGTGCAGGGGTCAAAACTTGACTTTGGAAAAAGTGGGGGGACATGCCCCCCCCCCGCATTACGTCCATGACAAGGTGCTTCGTGTGTACAATAAACAAACTCTAAATGATAAAAAATAATTAAAAAATAGAATTATTTAAGATAAAAAGAAAAAAAAAATGAAAACACCAGAGGCCAAAACAAAAATTTAACAGAATAAAAAGATGAGTTTTTTTAATGGAAGCAGAAACTACAGAGAGAGAGTGAGTGGGTGAGCAAGCGAGCTTCTGCCCTCACCTGAGAAGGAGACAAACGTGTCCTGAATGTCTCCCACCATTCTGACAGGATGTCTCATGAAATGATGATTCAGGACAGATAACTTCCTGTCCGAGTTATCTGTGAACTAATAAAGACAAACTGGTTAGCTTCAGACCCGTTTCTACTGAGATCAGGTGTGTTCAGACCCGTTTCTACTGGGATCAGGTGTGTTACACAAGCAGATGCTTCAGACCTGTCTTATTTCAGTGTTTATGAGGTCGAAGAACGCTCTGACAGTAGCAAGAACCAGCTCTTTGCACCTGAAACAGAAAGAAAAGGATGAGGGGTCAAAGCAAACATTTATGAAGGCATTAGGAACCTGATCTGTGACAGAACGTCTCTTACCAAACTATGGACAGATGATCAGTGGACACCCATGTCCTGGGGACTGCAGTGACCTGATAAGCAGAAGAGGCTGAGACATCAGAGAAGACACAGCTGCAGCTTCTGTGGTGGGTAAATAACCAGTCAGCTAAATGACATCGAGGATTACATCACAAACCAATCGTACCACTAAGGACAGTTTATTAGGGTCGCCGGGGGGGCAGGGGAGGGATGTCAGGCCAGAGCGGACCTGGTAGTCGCGGTAACCACCTCCGATAGACAGAACAGTCACGTTCCTGAGCTTGTTAGCCTGGTTCACCCACTTCTGTCTCACAGCAGCGTAGAACTCTATGAGACAGGAGGACGAGGCGGTTAGCTCCGACAGTCACAGACGTGCTACACTGGCACCAACCTGAACCCAACTCACCCAGAAGGAACGGGTCCAGCCCCAGAACTGGAGCCAGGTGTGGAGAGGCCTGGGTGATGATGAGGCTGACCAGGTGAGGGTTGAATCGAGGTAATGTGAACAGTGCTCGAGCCACCACTCCCCCCATGGAGTGACCAACAATTGCTACGCTCTGAGGGGGGTTTTTAAGGTGCTGCAACACAAAGACCAGGTTTAGAATCAGAACTGGTTTGTTCGTTAGTGCAGCCTGCTGGGTCGGACCTTATAGAGTCGTAGGATGGCTTTAATGCTCTCATGTAGGAAATGGGTTTGTCTGAGCAAACTGCCTCCATAGAGAGCCACCAGCTCCTCGTTGAAGTCCACCGTGAACACGTTCAGATGAATCCCTCCCTCCACGTTTTCAGCCTTTCGTAACGCCACTGATCCCAGGGATCGAGCTTCAGGGAGACAGGGACAGAAAACTCTTACACATAGGTACAGTAGTCATGGTAACGGATGTTTAACATGGGTCAGAGCAAACATGTTGAATAGTCAGGTCCAGCCATCAGCACGGTGGTGGAGGGCTCATGGTTTGTGCTGGTTCTGACCTAAGGAGATCTCCTCTGGTGATCAATCTAAACCGGTCCTTAAGCTCTAAATGCTTAACCGACAGAAGTCGAGAAAATCTTAAATTTAAAGGAAGGATCCTGAAGTGTTTTTACCTTGTTTGTAACTTCCTGCGTTGCCGGGCAGAAAGACAACAGGTGTGCCAGTGAGTTTGAGATGCCGGGTCTCCTGAGCGTACAGGCCCTCTCCGTACAGGTAGAGTCCATAAGCAGGGTAGGATCTGGCCATGCGACGAGGCAGAGCCACTCGCTGGAAACAACAACCATGCAACAACTCTTCAACAGACGAAAAACAACACCTAAACATTATTTTGGTTCATTTGAGGGAGAAAATGGTGAAGAATTGAGACATCCGGGTCCTTTGAGATGTAACATTTGCTCTTGAGGGCTTCATAAATACAAGCTGGGTCACAGATCAAACCTCCAATCCTCCCTCCTAGGAGCTCCATTAGTTGTCCTGGTCCACTGGCAGGAGGTTCACATCACATTCCTAAAGATGTGGATTCATGTGACTCAGAGCTGCCCACAACACTCCCAGCTTCTGTTCAGGTTTCTTTCTTTTTGGATGGACCAGGTTCCGTCTGAGGAGACTAATGAATGCCTTCTGGATGACACTTGTGTTTGGTGCAGATGTTCTGCCACGTTCTCATGATGAAGCTCTGAGAACCTCATACTGTTTGCTTTGGTATTATATAAACACTGCATCTCTGTGACAGACTGCTGGTAAATTGTTTTCAAAAATGCTTTTCATCTCCTTTAAGCCCCATGAGATGTCTAAGCTACAGATGTTCCACACCTGCTTAGACTCCATTACAACCTGGATGCTGGGAGATTTCTTCAGCTGAATGAAGATAAGACTGAGATCCTCATCTGTGCCCCAGACAAGCTGGTCTCAAAGTCAGAGACTCTCTTGGTCAGCTTGCTTCTTACAGCAAACTAGAGGCCGACCGATATGGTTTTTTAAGGCAGATGCCGATACCGAGTTTTAAAGGATTTTGTTGAAGATGATATATATATATATATATATATATATATATATATATATATATATATATATCTACACACACACACACACACACACACACACACACACACACACGTTTTAGCAGCACATTGATTGTGAAAGACAAATGAAAACTCACTGTGTGTAATATAAATTAAGTAAGTCAATAAATCTCTTAATATTTATTGAACTTCAAATATAAAAAAAACTAAAACAAACAAAAAAACGGTGTGTTGGGGTTCTTCGGTCTAGCAGAGGCAGCAGGTTGCCACACAGGTGCCTGTTTTTTAATATTATTTTTTGTCTGCTTTTAAAAATAATTTTGGCCGATATAGAAAAAGTTATCTGCCTCTTCACCAAACCTTCTGTCAGGAATCTTGGCATGACCTTTGACCCAGCTCTCACCCTGGATTCTCATGTCAGTGCTCTTGTTCGCTCTTCCTTCTTCCATCTCAGGAACATTGCTAAGCTGAGTCCCATTCTGTCCCGCTCTGAACTTGAGACAGTTCTCCACACCTTCATCTCCTCACGCTTAGACTACTGTAACTCTCTTTTCACGTGTCTGAGCAGAACCTCCCTGAACCGTCTACAGGTGGTTCAGAATGCCTGTGCTCGGCTTCTGACCAAGTCCTCCAAACACACGCACATCACCCCGCTTCTCCTCCAGCTTCACTGGCTGCCAGTCAACTTCAGGGTTCATTTCAAGATCCTGGTTCTGGTCTATAGGGCCTTACATGGACAAGCACCATTTTACATTGGTGATCTTCTTAGTCCCTACACCCCCAGCAGGTCCCTGAGGTCCAGTGATCAAAGCCTACTGGTTGTGCAGCACCAGGCTAAAGACCAAAGGTGACAGATCATCTGCTGCTGTGGCTCCCAGACTCTGGAACTCTCTCCCCCTGAGCCTGAGATCAGTGGACTCAGTGGTCTCCTTTAAACTCACCTGTTCAGGCGTTGGTGGGACCTTCTGCTGATTCTTCATCACTACCAGCTCTTTCTACCAATTCTGCATTCCACTGATTACTTCTTTCTTATTCATGTACGTTTTCCCTTACCTCACATTTGTTTGAAATCCAGATTTTTACTTCTGCTAATTTTATAATATTTTTAATCATCTTTTAATATTTTTTTCTTTTTGTCCTCTTCAAGCGCCTCGCGACTTTTACCTTGAGAGGCGCTATGCAAATGATCGTTTCTTCTTCTTATAGGCTTTAATATCATTTAAATAATCTGGTCTACTGAATCCCGTCGAACAGGTGTACTGAAACCTGAAACAGGTGTGACAGCCACGCCAGTCACGTGACATGCCGCGCCAGCACGATTTTTCTGCTCTAAGTGAAAAACAGGAACATATTTAGCGCGTTACAGCGAACCTCTGCCCGCGTTAATACAGCTGGTATGAGAACTGCAGGCTTGGAACGACAGCAGCGCGGAAATTAGCCGCTAACTAGCCGTAGTACTCACCCGGTACTCTGGGTATTCGAACATGTAGGTCATGCTGCATCTGTTCTCCTCGAAGCCAGTCAGCAGCTCCCGCAGGCCGACCACCAGGAACCCCAGGGCGGAGACGTAAAAGGCCACTCTGGCTACTTTCATGCTTCACTTCTGAGTCGGACTCCTAATTTTTACATTTGTCTCATCTTCCGAGTCTCAGTGGTCATCTTTAGTGTAGTTCTCTGCTGCCCAGGAACCCCTGTCCAGCTGAACCAGTTCACAACACAGGCGCACTGGAATGATCGACAGCTCAGCTGTCCAATCAGAGACAGGCACTGAAGAAACTGGCCCAATAGGAGAGTATCTCTCGAGTGACGAGTTTTACATGAGTCGGACAAACGATCTCAACTGCAATCTGAGGACCCCACTCTCTAGCCCCAACCGTGAGGTCTCTTCTGGTTTACGCGCTTCCACAGTTGACGCATGCGCAAAGCTACATGAAGCGTAAAAGTCTAGACCACAAGTAAACATGTTCACTGTCACTGCATTTATTTTGAAAGTAGTTAGATGACCTTTGGTTTCTGTTGGGACATTTGTCGCCCTCTTCTGGTACTTTGACGGCATCACAACTGCTAAGGCGCTCACTGGCTGGGACCTCAGAATGCAGGCCCGAATGATGCGGTCTGAGAACGCTGTAGCCGGTACTTCTGAGGCAGATTTACTATTTTTAATCAAGATAATTATTATTGTGTAATTATTAATATACTGGATCTACCTGTTGAAAATAATTAGGATTAAGTTATTAGAATAAATTAACTAACAATTACTAGTATCGGTATTTAAGGCTAAACTGAATTGTGATATTTTTATAAATTGTATTCCATGTAATTTGATTTATTTCTGAATCAGGATTATATTAAAACAGCTTGTGGTGAAAAAAACTCCACTATAAATGTAAAACGCTAAATAACAGCCTTTATTGGATAAAAAAATTAAATAAAAATATATTGAATATAAATAAAATTTTGCATTAACTTAGATTTACATGAGTAGTTCATGGACTGGGAACCAGTGGGAGTAGACTTGTTTATTTTACCCTAAAATATCTATCTAATTAGGCCAAAATGAAAGTCTGAAACAGTTCAACAAATAAAAATAAAAAATATTGATATTTTACAAACATGAGGCACATCTTTATTTATCAGCTGCAGCCACATGAGGCAGCGTTCACAATCATCAACACAAGTGTGCACTGTAGGTCGTTGGTAGTAAATACATTAAAATGTGTGTGAAGGCCCAAATGAAAAGCAGCACCTTAACAGCTGAAGAAATAAAATATTTAATTCTAACTAAAGAGCCACAAAACTAAATGTTCTCACAGGAAAAGGCTTCCTGATAGAACTTCACAGATGTTCCAGTGCAGTAGCCGATCTGGGTCACCTCTCTAATCGGGTTATTGTGCAACGGAAGAATTCAGGTTCTGATCTGTATTAAGCAGATAACATTGAACAGTTATAAAAGATGGGCCTGTGAGTATCTGGAGTCTGTCACCTTAATCCAGAGGAGATGAAACTTATTCTGGTACCAGAACCTCCAGAGCCTTGTGTTTCTTCCCTCTGGACATCCAGTAAGGAGTTATGTCCTACAAAAAATAATCCAAATCCAAACTCCTAATCCAAAAGCTTGGAGTGCTCTACCCTTGTAATGGTCCACTCTGGAGGAACTCCTTTAGTGAATTCCCTCTGAAACCTAAACCAGAAAGAAAAGAGACGAGTAGAAATGGCTACTGAGTGTTTCTAATCTCCCATCTCTGTAGAAAACTCACTCATATATTGCAGTCAGAAGCCTTTTGGTTTCCGCCTCTCCATCTTCGTCTCCAATGGCCACCTTGAAGGTCCGAGTTCCCTTCAGGCCGTCATCAGGAACCTGAGCGCTCGTCAGGTACCAGAACCGCATCAGGATGCTGACAAACTTTCTCCCTGAAACACAGATTCTGATTAGAAAGAAAGAAAGCGATCTTTTGTACAGCACCTCTCAAAATAAAAATCACAAGGCAAAGACAAAAACAATTTAAATCAAGAATTTTTTCTCAAAAATGATTAAAAATATATTTAAAATGAGAATTAATTAAAAAAATGTGATTAAAAATGTAACGAAAGGGAAAGAGAAATTTAAATGGGGACAGCAGCAGCTCAGGAGGTAGAGCGGATGTCCAGTAATCAGAAGGTTGCAGGTTTGATCCCGGCTCCGACCAGAGAATGCTGCTGTAGTGTCCTCGGGCAAGACACTTAACCCGCCTGGCCTGCTGGTGGTGGTCAGCCTCATCTCTGTCAATGTGCCCCAGGGCAGCTGTGGCTACATCGTAACTCATCATCACCAGGGTGTGAATGTGTGCATGAATGGGTGAATGACTGATTGGGTTGTGAAGCGCCTTGGGGGGCCCTAAGAGGGCGCTATACAAATACAGCCCACTTACCATTTACCATAATGGGAAAGAAGGAAATCAGTGGATCCGGGAAGGGTGGAATAGCAGAGCATCACAAATAAAACGACATTGGTGGATCTAAGAGAGGACGAATCTGATCCTCACCATTTTCATCGTAGAAGATTCCCACATCTCCTGGAGTTGTGTACATGATATCATCAGGATCTGCAGACAGAGCCTTCTTGTACTCGGACGGCAACAAGCTGCACTTTTCCTCCAACTTCCCAATCAGCTGTGAGAAGAGACAATTCATTCAATTCAAAGAGGCAGTGAAGTGGATCTATCTGTAAAGGGGTTGTCTGTAATAAAGTAAAGCTGTGTCTGCACAGGTGACTTATGGGAAATAATTATGAAGCGTCACAAAATCAATCAAATATCTCTGCCTCTGGAAGAGCTAATGTTTATTAAAATTAACTATTTTAGTATGTTTGATCAAAAGTTCAGACTCAGAACCCTGAGTGTGACCTGGGACCAGAACCCTGAGTCTGGACCCTGTGGTCCTACCACAGCTCCATCACACTCACATCTTTAGCTACGAGTCCATCCAGAGCCTCAAACTGACACTGAGCCAGAAGTCTGGAGACGTGAGAAAATGCCTGAAAGAGGGAAGACAAGAGTCCACATCAGTCCCAAAACAGAAGCTCCTGTTTCTGACCCCTCCTGCTCCCTACTGACCCTCTTCGCTCCTTCTGTGAACTCCTCGATGCTGAACTCTTTGTCAAAGTAAGCTTTGATTAGAAAATAGTAGATACGAGTTCGGATCCAGATGAACGGGTTCGGGATTCCGACCACCACCACCTTCTGCCGCCGTTTCTCATACTCCTTATCCGAGCTGTAGAAACGTCCAGGTGTTAGAACCATCACTCGGGTTCTACAGAACCGAGTCAGCGTCACATTCTGATTCAAAATCAGCCGATTAGAGCTAAACACTGAATGTAACCTGGAGCAACATCTTAACAAGGGTAACGCCATCTTGCTCCTTCTTCTTCCGGTTGAAACCACTAGCATAAACCATCCTCACGAACATACCATCAGTCTAAAAACCTTTCTGTAGTGTTACGGATTTAAATATTCATATATCGTGGTACAGTTAAAAATTAATAGAAATTCTGTTTACTTGTGATTTTTTGTAGTTTTTTATGGGGAAGACTAACCATGTAACACCAAGTAAAGTCTTCTTCCGCCAACAAAAATAATGTTAAAATGGAGCTCCAGGAAAAAATATCGGTTCCGATTTTTACTGCAGTAGAGAGAGAAGTGTTTCTACAGGACGTTTATCCTCTGGTAAGATAAAACCGCCCTTTATACACGCGTTATTTCCGCTTTCATGGGGACAGAATAACCGGATAACCTTCTGTAGCAGCACCCCAACCTCCTACTCACTTATTCCCATCAAAACTCAGAAACCCGCTTTTAGATTACGCTTTTTGGACTTTAGACTGTATATCTACCATTGTGTCTTTCTCAATTTTTAAAGTACAAACCCTTAGTATCACAAAAGCGGCAGATTCATTAACTTTTAACTTGTTCGTTTGTGGAACTGTTTTCTTTATGGAGGAAGTGATCAGGCATAAGATGTGTCACATCTAAAACGGTCTGGGAAGAAACAGTCTTTAGACATACTTGTGTCTGTCTTTCTGACCATAAATGGTCAAATAAACATTTTCTTGTCACTCACTGTTTCTATCAGTTCATTCATGCAGGTTTGAACTGGTGAAACATCTGAACCAGTGGGTTACCTTCATCCACGTGTTAATTGTAATCTCCAGCGCAGACCGGCTGTCCTGAGAGGGGTGGACTTGGGGCCATGTGTTGAAAGATGGACAGTTGAATATCTTGGCAACAGAGGAGGTGACAGGGACGTGAAGATCCACGTCTCCTCAGAAGCTCAGATGGATTTCCTTCACAAGAACTTTGTCTACAAGTAAGCTGAAACAGTGTTTATTTTCCTGTTCGATATCTCCTCTAAATGCAATGCTCTATGTGAATGATGCACCATAATCTTTGGCACATCTCACACAGGACTCTGCCTTTTAATGAATTTGTTAAAAGAGCATCTGAGATGAACCACACAGATTTCTTCCTGAGTGAGGTATGGATAATTAAACGAGGAGACTGATTTATTTGTTTATTCCTAGTCCTTTAATGACAGAAACTCCTGTTGTGGTTTTAGGATGAGAGCTACTATCTCCGATCTCTGGGAGAGGACATCAGGAAGGTACTTTAAACATCATACGATAAGTTTTAGATTAATATATGAACTTTTTGTTCACATGTTTGTGAAACACTGATTTTTTTTAGTTATGGTTCAGATCCCGGACAAGCCCCCACAGAATGGTCAATGTGTCAAAAAGGCATAAGGACATAAAACAGGGCATAAGGACATAAAACATATGTTAAAGTGCATAAACCTACGTAATGAGAAGGTTCTACCTTTCCTACAGGAACCTGCTGAGTTGAACAAACAGTTCCCAGCCTTGGCTGATGATTTTCACATCCCACCATTCTTTGAGCTGGAGCAGTTCTTTTCCAGTGTCTTCCGGATCAGCTCATGTGGTCTGCAGCTGTGGACACACTATGATGTGAGTGCTTTACCCTCCTGCAGGAGTACTTCAGTATTTATTTAGTGGCTTTGGTGTTCCTTGTCCCAGGTGATGGACAACCTGCTGGCTCAGGTGACAGGAAGGAAGAGAGTGGTGCTTTACAGCCCCCAAGATGCATTGCACCTCTACCTGTCTGGTAAGTTGCTATGGAAACATGCCAACATGCACAAATTAAGTCTTGATCGAGCCTGTTTCTATATGTATTCTGTCTGAGAAGTCTCAGTTCTGCATCAGAACTTTATCGGCTTGTTTTAACCCGTTAGGTGATAAGTCGGAAGTCCTGGATATCGATGCTCCTGACCTGAAACGGTTTCCTGAGTTTGTGAAGGCAAGGAGATATGAATGTGTTCTGGAGCCTGGAGATCTGCTGTTTATTCCAGGTTAGAAGATCTGTCCACAGGTCTCATTGTAAGTCCTGATCACATTAAGCCTTCTCTTTACATGATCCTATTTCCTCAGCTCTGTGGTTCCATAACACCCTCGCCCTGCAGTTTGGAGTAGGTGTTAATGTGTTCTGGCGCCATCTTCCGGCTGACAGCTACGACAAAAAGGACCCTTATGGTAACAAAGACCCTGTGGCTGCTGCTCGGGCTCTTCAGACCCTGGAGAGGGCTCTTCACTGTCTGGATGAACTTCCAGCTGAGTACAGAGACTTCTACGGCCGGCGGATGATCCAACGCATCCAGAAACAAACTCACTGTGACGAGAAGAACACTACATTACCCAGCAGCCCGCTCACTACACCAGCATGATGTAACCAGAACTTCTGCCTGCAGAATAAAGATCCAGGTTCTCACCCGTGTGTGCTCATCCTTAACCGACTGTTTACTGGTGTTTGAAGGCATCGTGAACTATTCTGATCTTGTTTAACAAGTTTTATCTCCGGGTTAATCAGCGTTGGTCTGACCCGGTTACAGACGTGGATCACACGTCTAACCCTGACCCTAACCCTGAGTTAAAGACGGAAAAAAACCTCAGGAATCCTTCTGGATCCCAGACCTCTTGACCCTCAGCAGCAGGTCTGGCTCCAGAATTGATCCATGTCTGTGTGGCAGGGTGGAGAAACGAGGGCCCGGGCGGGATTCGATCCCCAGACTCCCAGGTGAGAGTCACGCGCTAACCAGTCAGCCAAAGGGACATCCCATTGGCCAAGTAGCCTGGGCGCATGATCAATCGGGACACTGTGACAGGACGCTCACACTGCCACATCTGTAATTGCATAATAAACCAAGTTCTCCATAACCATTAGAGAGACGATGTGTAGTTTTTACCATTAATTTCTGGAAATAACCATCAAAATGTTGTTGAAAATGAATGAAATGATGCCCAATTGTTGAAAATATTGGCGGCTTCGTAACATAACCATAAAAATCAGGTCTAAAATACATGGGAGCGGGTCTGAGTCTCCGGGCGACGCCATGTTTCCTTCTACCAGAGCCCATGAGGACAAAATGCATTTACTGATTTGTAAAAATCTTTGATCATTCCTAAATGTTGTGTTACACATTTACCTCATCACTAGTTTCCAGTGATGAAAATGAGTCTCGTGTGTTTTATTTAGCTGAAGTTTGCACTTCCCAGGGCTTTTTGACCCTAATGGGCATCCGTTGGTAAAGGTCTTACTCAAACACAAAAATACTGCTTGCTTGCAACGATTTAGGTATCTACTGCCCCCTATCGCCAGGAAAAACAATCACATTAAACTGTGGAGTTTTAAGGTTTAAATTCTTTTTAGAGCGTTTTTATGGATGAAGCTGTAATTCCTGACTTCAGATGGGAACTGAGATGTTAAAATAAAAAATAATGAACTAAATAAAACATTATTATAGAGCTGTTCATGAATTATGTCTCAGACAATGAAAACTCAAGGATCTAGCAAACATTCTCGTCTCCATTCTCACCAGAAGAGCCTGGAAACAAAGCTGGAGGTAAAATTTGAAAATTTATTGCACAAAGATGACAGTTCTTCTTCATGTATCCTTAAAAACTTCTGAAAGCTTTGTAAACAGTGAACAGCATCTCCCCAGTGTGTCCAGTATCTCCTAATACCACCTTAAGTCCCTGTGGTTTCCTCAGCGTTTCCCAGCATGCACGAGTGGCGAACTACGTGAAGCAGAACAAAAGCTCAGGCGTGGCTTTTCCTAACAGAAGATCTGACTGTCAGGAAACTTCTTGCTACATAAAAGGATTCCAATCAAAGGACGGAAAGCCGAGAACATTTATTATTCTTGAACAAGTTGGAGTTGAGATTATTCAAAAGTTTAAGTGTTGAAAAAGTTTAGGCTTTGGATGGAAAAGGGAAATATGCAAAACCGGCCCTCCGTTCAGAATTCTCCCATTGGAAAACCTCTGGGAGAAGCAGCAGGAAACGGAGCAGCTGCTGTGGGAGCGTTTTCTGTCTCGGAGCGTTCCCGCCATGAAGAATCCACAGAAAACGGAAATGGCACGTTGCTTGTGAGAGCTCTTGGTGAAGCTTGACTTTTCCTATCAGGCAGGTGAAGGAGAAACCCGATCAGGATGCGGCTCCATCTGGAAGCCGGTTCTTACGGAGTCTGGGCCATGCCACGGCTGGACTTCATCTTCTCCAGTCTCTTACACAGGTGGCTGTTGTTCGACTCCAGTTCTTCCACCTTATCCAGCGCCGATCGCAGCTGCAGGGTCAAACACAAACAGCTGCTTTAGTTTTCCTTCTGGAGAAACCCGTCTGCAGGTTCAGCTGTTAGAAAACTTCCTGCCTCTCTCTGCAGTTTGCGTTTCTCAGCCTTCAGCTCATCCTCCACCGTCTCCGCGTTTTCTGCTGCAGATTTGTAACGGGCCACCTGACCCTCCAGCCGGGTCACCTGGATCCAGAAGAACAGCATCAGAACACCCATGTGAGGAGAAAGGCTGCAGGAAGATGGGAAATCTGACAGGAAACCTTTTTTGCTCACATTTTGTTCCAAAGCCGTCACTTCCTGTTCCGCCTTCACCAGTTTGAACTTCAGGTCGTTCACCTGCCTGCTGGAGTCTCCTGGAGGATTCACAACAAACATCTGACAAAAGACACACACACATGGCTGAAGGGCGCGGGAACACCTACGCTGCAAATCCATGATGTTGGGATCGTTCCCGTTTTCCATCATTTCTCCATCTGGACTACAACCGGAGTCTGTTCCGTTATTCTGTGTCTTCTGGTCCAACTGGGCCTTCAGCTTCTTCACCTGTAAAGAACACATCAGAGGGTGAGGAGTTCTCCAGAACCGGTCATGTTCTGTTTTAGGGATGGAGCTTGTCTCACTTGCTCGATCATTTTTTCCCGCTCGTCCACCAGCTTCCTCAGGCGAATTTCTGAAAGATGAAACACGTCTGAAAATCTGGCTTCACGACTCTGTTGCACGTTTGGTTTTACAGATCAGAACTAAAGTTCTGATCCGGTTCTCGTCTCGATCCTGTCTGCAGAGAGACCTTCTGACTGTCAGTCGGGTTTCTGCTGAACATTCCTGAAACGTTCTGGCTAAATCAGCCAAAGTCCAAAGAAAAACTCTGAAAGACCTTCAGAAGTTCTGCAGAAACGTTATTCCAGAACCGGGCCTGGCAGCTGGGGTAGAAACAAGAGCCGGATCAGAACTTCTAGAACATCACAGATAATCAGTAACATCAATAAATTCAAATGTGTGTCCTCCAGCTTTAAAAGGAAAATGAATAAGAACATACCAGGAGAGGAGCCGGGAAGAGCTGATGCATGCACATGAGCAGGCGTCCATGGTGGGGTGTTGGAGCGTGCACGTGTGTGTGTGTGTGCTGGGTGTGTGTGTGCGCGTGTGTGTGTGCACGTGTGTGTGCTGGGTGTGTGTGTGCGCGTGTGTGTGTGTGCTGGGTGTGTGTGTGCCTGTGTGTGTGTGTGTGTGTGTGTGGGGGGGGGGGGGGGGGGTAGCATGCACGCTGCTTCTGCAGATTAATTCACACAACAGAGCAGGCATCCATGGTGGGGTGTTGGAGCGTGTGTGTGTGTGTGTGTGTGTGTGTGTGTTTATGTTGATTCATTTAGCAGACGCTTTTATCCAAAACGACTTACAATTTATAACCTATAGGGCATGTTGTGATCTGTGGGGGAAACCGGAGTACCCGGAGGAAACCCACGCATGCATGGGGAGAACACGCAACTCCACGCAGAAAGGCCGCAGCCGAGTTTCGAACCTGCAACCTTCTTGCTGCGAGGCAACAGTGCTAACCACTGCGCCACCATGCAGCCAGTGCCAGTGCCAGTGTGTGTGTGTGTGTGTGTGTGTGTGCGTGTGTGGGGGTTAGCATGCATGCTGCTTCTGCAGATTCATTCACACAACAGAGGTGAGCTGCGACTTATTAAACTGTCGTTTCACATTTATTCAGAGCACCAAAAGGCAAACGATGATCCAGAGCCTCTGATGGGAAAATACCAGCCAGGAAGTGTCGGAAGCATCGACCAGAACCACTTCCTGAATACTTCGTGGTAAAAGAACAAAGCGACAGACGGACGTTACATCAAACCAAAACCGTTCACAGTTTTTAGCATTTTTGCACTTTTCTGAATAAACTAACTCAAAAGTTCACGTGAAAAAAATCGAAGTGCTTTGAGTCTCATTTTCTTCCCACTTTGGACCGCTGCACTAAGACATCTTACACTCCTCTTTTCCCTTTCCTTTGCCTTTCTTGCTGCTCTTTTTGGAGTCTTTCCCAGACTGCGGGGTATCATTGTTGTCACCGGCTTCTTCCGTGCTCTTTGGTGAATCTGAATTCAGCTGGATGGCGTCTAATCCCTCTTCGACCGACAAGGAGATTTTCTGGTTCAGGTTCTCCTGAACCACATATGAATTCTGCTCTTCCTCTGCTGGATCTGCTGCTTCCTCCTCCTCACAGGCGCCACCCATCTCTGCGGCTGCAGCTCCTTCCTGAGTTAAAGAGTTCCGGTTTTCCTCCTGGTTTCCTCCATCAGGAGCCTCCTCCTGACCCCTGCTGTCAGACGGCGTTGCTTCTGCATTTCTGTGAGTTTCTGAAAGGTCAACTGAGGTTGCCTCAGTTGCTTGTTCAACTTCCTGCTCTTTAGGATCATAGAACTTACTGGATTCTTCTGCTGCTTCTATGTCCAAGTCATCAAAGTCAAAGGACTGCCCCTCCTCCCCCTCCTCGTCCTCATCTCCGTCCAGCTGGAGGGGTTGAGGTGAGTCGGTACTTTTACAGGTCTGAGAGTCAGATCCATGCTCCGGCTCAGCCAGAGAACATAAGGACGAGTCCATTTCCTGGTTTTGTTGAGCGTTGTTATGCTCTGGATCTTCAGTGGGTTCCTCCGAACTGGACTCCACCTCTTCTGGACCAAAGGTCTCCGTCTCGCCGGTGCGCTCTGTCCCATCTGGACCATTTTTAGTGTCGCCGGTCTGAGTTTGTGTTGGTAAGGACACACAACCACCGCGTTCCTCATCTGGAGAGCGGTTCAACTCAGAATGGACCTCACGCCCTCCATCGCCTCCACTCACATCCATGTTCTTGGTTCTGTCCTGGTTCTGTTTGGACTCATCAGCATCTTGACAGGGAGACATGTCTCCAGCCTCCTCTTCGGGACCATCGGTCAGAGGGTAGCCGCTGTCTGAGCTCCCAACCGGCACTGGCGCTGATCCTGATGAGGTTTCAGTCAGCTGTTCATGAGGAGGAGACGTGCTTTCTTCTTTCTTCTCAGAGATGTTTGCAGGTCCAGATCCAGGAGCACCAGTGTTCTCCGATCTGGTTCCCCCTGATTCACAGCTGCTCTCAGGTCCATCTACAGTTTCTGACTCGGTGAGAAGGAGTCCACCTCCTGAGACGTCATCTCCAAGTTTGGTTTCAGACCTGAGGAGGTCCAGTTCTGGTTCTGGACCCATTCCTTCTACTGTCACATGTTCCTTAACGGATCCTACATCAGAGGAACCTTGGTTTGGTTTCTCTGCCTCTCCTGATTGCATAGTCTCCTCCTCACTCAGAACATCATCACCCACCTCCTCCAAGGCCGAAACCGGACCTGTGATTGGTTCTTGGTCAGGTTCTGGACGGGAAGAGTTTCCTGTAGGTTCTGCTGATTCCACGTTTTCCGAAGTTTCTTCCTTCTTCAGAGCTTTTTCGGCACATTCCACTCTTGCTTCCTTGAGTGTTTGAGTAGATCCCACAGCATCAGACGTAGTTTTGGTTTCACAGAGTTCATCTGAAACTGGATCCATCCCCAGTTCTTCAGGAGCTGGACCGGTGAAGCTTTCAGCTGATTCTGCAGATCCGGGATCCTCAGGTTTTAGAATCTTGTCCTCATCCTCCTCAACATTCTCTTCTCTGAGCGTTCCAGCTTCGTCCTCCTCCAACACCGACATTTCATCTCCGCCGAGCTGGTCTGAAACTGGATCCACACCCGGTTCCTGAGGAGGTTCTTTGTGAGGAACACTTTCTGTAGGTTCTCGGTTCTCCTGCCTATTCTTGATCTGATCCGACGATGATGCCTTTAAGCTTTCAGCAATGGAACCACTAAGCCCAGGTTCTTCAGTCAGCCCTTTACTCACAGCTGATCCAACATTTTCCTTCTCCATTTGCTGGCTCTTGTTTTCCGGAACTCCTCCATTCTTTTTGCCTTTCCTCTTCTTTTTCTTCTTCTTGCCTGAAGCAGTGTGGGACTGAGGTTTGCTCGGCATTCCTTCAGCCTCGTCCCTGTTCTCCGGCTCTTGCTGAGTGTCGGAGCTTGAAACTGAGATTTCACTTTTAGGGATCCGAGCGTCGCTCCCCTCTGGTTGTGATTTGGTGTCTCTAAAAGAACTCTCCACCAGTTTGCCATCCATCTCGTGTGTGATGAGATCACGGGCTGTGCCAACGGTACCACACTGGGGTTCTGTTAAATCTGGAGCACTCTGGTAACAAACCAGAACCTCCTGGTGGTTCCAGCTGACACCATCAGTAAGTAAACAGACATTAATGTCAAAAGCTAAGTCTCTGGTGTCCTCTCTGCTGGTTAAACGGGTCTCCTGTCCCTCTGACAGCTGTTTCCTGCAGGACGTCTCTAGTTTGGACTCATCAGCAACAGAAACAAGCGTTTCTGGGCTTGAGAGGCTGTCTTTGTCTTCTTCAAGCTGCTCTGGATCCAGCGCTTCATCTCTGCAACCCCTCAACTCAGCCTCCTCTGTGAGAGATCATGAAGAGCAAATGGTGATAGACTTTAACAGTAATCTTCATCAGGAGGAACTTCAGAAGCTAGGCCAGAACACCTGATTGGTTTGGTGGCCAGAAAGAGAAGCACAGAACCAAGTTGTCCAGGAGAAGCAGGAGGAGGAAAAAGCAGGTGGGCCACCAGAGCAGAACCAGACAGAAGCCGAAAGCTGGATCTCCACAAATAAATCTGTGCTACGCAAGCTAGCCGACAGCTTCTGACACGAACCCCCGACATGATCAAAATCATTCACCCCACCAACAACCAGAAACACCACAACACTGTTAGTGTCAGCTAAACGAGGAAAAAGGTGCTAAAGGATGGAAGCTGAGACCAGCAAGACGTCTGAAGAAGAAAGGTTAGCACCACGGTTTATTATGCCACCAAACAGATGATTCTTTGCCTTTTTACCTTGTTTTTTAGCATCGGTCACTTTAAACTAGCCAAATGTTTATGACTGGATAATAAACATTCCGAAAACCTTCAGTAAAATGTTTGTTTTGTACCTTGAGACGGTGTGGAGTTCCTCAGGGCTGTGTTCTCGGGTCCGTCCTACTCAGGTTGTTCTAAAACCTAAACGACGGATTCTGAGACTGTGGGACAAAATCTCCCACTGCTAAAGGCGGTTCCTCGAGTCAAACATCAGCTCCAAGAAAAATGCAAAGAATCATCATGTTTGAATAAAATCAGAGGTGAAAGGTCATTAAAGGTCATTTCAGGAGCAGGCAGGACTGAAGAGTTCATTTCAAAATCCCAAAGGCCAACTGAGAGGTGAATTTTGTAGTTTCATCAGAATTTGTTCATTAAACTCTTCGGTTAGTTTGTGGGCGAGGTGCAGCGAGAAGAAAGTCCGCCCCGACTCTCCTGAGGGTTTTACCGAGCATGCTGCTGCCTTCGGTCTGAGTCCTCGCTGCATCCTGGGAAGCAGGTTCTGCTGCGGGCGTTCCGTTCACCTCCACTTCACTGACGTCCCCGTTGATGTTCAGGTCGGGTCCGAGGATGATTCCGTGTTTCTGCAGCAAACAGGCGATGGTTAACATCAACAGCAACAGGAGAGGATTTGAGACATTTTCCCAGTGTCCAACTCTGGGAATACCTTCAGGATGTCCTTCAACTTCACCACTTCCTCTCTGAGCTCATCCCGCTCCACTCGGATTGCGTCTGTATATTCTTTCTGTCGCTCTAACGCCTGAGCAGAGCCGGGCAACAAGCAGTGGAGAGCAGGCAGAAAAGAGGAGAACAGTTCATGCAAAGAGGAAACTGGTTTTAGATCACGTCGGTAGATGAAAACAGCCGAGTCGGGGTTCGTACCCCGATTTTTTTATCCTTCCACTCCACCGTCTCCTGCAGGTCGGAGATTTCTGTAACAAAACCGTCTTGTTTCAAACGCAGCTGACGGATCTCCTGAACAGCAGGAAAGGAGAGAGCGGAGTAAAGAAAAGCTGTTTTCTGTTTGCAAAAGTAAAGGAAACGGTGAGAGCGTGCAGCTTTTATTAACCCGAGGTGATGCGGAGCAGGAGGAGACGTTTCTGTGCCGTACTCACGTTAAGCAGCTCTTCACTTTGCTTCAACGTCTCTTTCACTTCACTGAACTGGAACTGGAGAACGCCGTGGGCCTGTTTCTGCCGCTCGTACTCCTGCAGGGACCAAGATGGCTGCATGATTAATCATAAACACGCCGGACAGAAGACACGGCGCAGCCCGCTTCACTGATGACAACATAACTTCCTCTGTGTGGGAGACTCGTAAAGACCTCCCGGAAGTCTGACTGTTGGGAGGGAAAATGAAAATTCAAGAACTGGATTTAGGAGTTCTGATGTTTTATGTTAAACTAAACAATAAAAGATGAATCGCTTTGCATTTTATTGAACTCAGACAATCATTCCTGTAATATTGGATTTAATCCCAAAAGCCTTTTCCAGACCTTGACTTTCTCTTGATATTCCCGACGTGACTCTGACAGCAGCTCCTCCAGCTCCATCAGCGAGTCCTTCAGCGTGTCCACCTGGTACATCAGGTTGTTCTTCTCATTGTCCAGCTGGGCGTTGGACACCATGGCCTTACGGTACTTCTCTTCTGCTTCAGCCAACGCGTCCTGATGGACACAATCACAGAAACCGGACACGTGTGATGTCATCAGACTAAAACCCGGGAAAGCTCTGCAGCAGGCAACAAACAGGGAAACTGGAAATCTGTGAAAATTCATCCTGCAGCAGGAACGTTTAGTTCCTGACTCAGAGCTTCAGGTTAGTTTTAATTATTAAAGAGCTGCTGGTTTGTTGATCTGCAGGAGAGAAAACCTCCGTAAATGCTCAGGTAAACAAACAAACAAACAAACAAAGAACTAGCTCAGGTTAGAACTCTGAACCCACGGACGAGTCTCAGGTTTCTACCTTGACTTCTTTTAGGTTCTGCAAGTACTTGGTTTCCACATCCTGAATCTGATCCTTCAGCTCATGAATCTCCTGGTGGGAAGTGAAGCAGCAGAGAAGCACAGCGTGACGTGAAACGGACACGAGTGTGGAGGAAAGACGGCAGCAGCCAAACAAGGAAGTGTTTCTATGAACTACAATCTGAGGTTCAAGCTAACCAGAATGATTTTCTAAGGATCTCAGATCAAAGACCTGGTCCTAGAGCACGGTCCTGGTCCTGGTTCTGGAGGACGGTACCTTGATTTCTCGTAAGGAGCTCTCAGCATCCACAGTTAGAGCCGTCTCACTGCTTCCTCTCCGGGAAGACGACCCACCTAAAGACGTGAGGGTCGACGCTGTCAGGGCAGAAGCTGCTCGAGATCCCTGGGAAACAAATGGAATCACGTAAACTTCCCGAGTCGGATCACTGGGAGAGAAAATATAAACAAATGAACTCTTCAGGAAGTAAATCCCACTCTGAAGACACATGGCGATGTGGAAGTAAAGGATTATTTGTGTTCATTCATGAAGTGGACCCAGAGCGTTGATGGCGTAGCACAAACAGGAAGTCCTACCGGTGTGCAACAAACATGGACTAAGGAAGCATGACCATATAAGGATCGCTTCAAACCTAAGAGACCGGTGTTGTGACAAAAAGTGTTCCTCCTTCCCTGGTGCGACATCTGACTCAGTGTAACTCTCTCTCTGTCCTCCCTTTTGTTGAGTCAGATTAACATCCAGATTACAGCACAGGAACTTTTAGTTTCCTTTGTGAAAATCAGTGTAGACTTCATTTTAAACAGATTATAATCCCATATGGGATTAGAACAACCTAAAAAGGCTTCTGTCATAAAGAAAATAACATCTGCAGAGATGGGGTTTCCTCACCTTTTCCTGATAATCCCGATCCTCCACCTGTGGAAAGAAACAAACAGTCAGAACCAGTCAAAAGAAAAAACGCCTCTCAGCATTCCAGGCTGCGGCTAAACCGAGTGAAGATTAGTGAAAAGGTGAAACACCAGAATCAGGTGTTGCTGAACGCTTCACTGCACACACGTTTAGTCACAAACTCTAGATTATTCCCGTGGGAAGATGTAGAAACTCCGGCAGCATCACGGCTTTAGCCTCCAGCAGGAGGAAGGGACTCACTTCACAGAAGTCCGGAATAGTAAAGTCCTCCAGGTCTCTGGGAACGCTGCTGCTGCTGGCAGAGCTCCTCAAATAACTGGCCAAAGAGCTGCAGTTATCCTGTAATCAGCCACCAGGGGGCGACACATAACACCAAAACAAACCACATGGTAAATCCATCAGAAAGTGGCGGCATGCTGTATAATTCCTCATCTAATCCACCTTTAGTCCCAATATTAAAGACTTCATTAGTTGCATGCAGAACAAAGTCAGAACTGTTCAAGTTCATCAGGAAATTCCAGTTTCACCTCCGAACAACGAGCAAAGGACAAATGTTTCCTTTCTAAACCGGCTGAGGAGGTGACGGCTGGAGTAAACAGGTCTGAGAAAAGGGGCGGGGCTCTGGGAAAATAGCTGATGTCATCACAAACAGCATGAAGCCAAAGGGACATCTTTGGTTTTTAGTTAAGGTCAAGGTCCTCCTCTACTGGGTATGGGTCAGCAGGCCGGTCCTGATGGCAGCAGAGCCCTGGTCCAGCCCAGAATCAGAGGACGCTATCCCGGGTCAGCATCAGGGTTCTGATCTGAATAGATGAAGGTTTACCACCTGAAGGGCTCAGATTAGACCTGCTTCACTACAGAATTAAGTTCTCCCAGATTTCCTCCCTAATCCCAGATTAAATCTCATTTTTTCTCTTCTGCCTCCTTTTTAAGGAACCTTTGAGACAAACGTGAAATTTTTAGGTTTTTCTTCGACTCAAGACAGAAAAAAGCTAACAAAAAACCCCAGATTTTCTAAAACGTGTTTCCAGCAGCTGAAACTAAACATGCACGTGGTCCTGGTGCACACACATGCTTCACACACAGTCTCACCACTGGACTGGTGCGGGCTGAGCTGGCCCTGCTGGAGGCTCTGGAGCTGCGGAAACCAGAGACCTCTACAGGCTGCAGACAGAAAAAGGGATCATTTCACGACTAATCACACTGAGCCAGCAGGTGTGCACTATTCCAGGTGTGTTGATTACGGATCCAGGTGCAGGTCTTACGTGGGAGCTGGAGGTTCTGCCGGATGCGCTGAACAGAACGTCCTCGTATAAGGAGCTCTGCAGCACAGAAACACTCAGTGAGCAGCTGGCCGCTGGGAGAACTCGGAACGCTTTCGTATCCATGATCAGGAAACACGTTTCACATGTAAAGTTACAGGTAAAGTGGGCCGATCCCGGGACAGATCAGACTCAACGTTTCAATCATCCTCAGACTTTCTAATGAGCTCTGAGGTTCTGATTTATTTTGGAACGCTGGTACCAAAACGTTTATTCACCACAAAACTAAAACGTTCCTTCTTAGGTGTCCTCACGACCCTTTCTGCTGTCAGTACTTGTCTTTAATGATCAGATATCAGTCCGAGTACTGACCTGATAACCATTAAAAGTGGAGCCTGAGGTTCTGGAAGACGACAGGCCTTTGAGACCGAACGGATCAGAAGAACTAAAAGAAGCCTGGAAGGATAAAACAACAACAGTTTTCCTAACAATCCATCAAACATTTGGCTAAATTCTCTAAGCCACGTTTAACCAAACAGCACAGAACGCTGCAGCGGTCACATAGATCCCAACCCAAACATGCCACAGAACACATCCGCTCGTACGATGCTCAAGCGTTTTTACGTTTAAGGACCAACAACCTGCATGCTTTGACATGTTCAGCGGCACACTCCATGCCACCTGGACTTTAGGGGTCAGAAATGTGGAACTGGATCACAACAAACCGCTTTTCATGCAGAAACCCACCGGCTGCAGGTCTAATCTGGAGGAACGAGACTTCCGGCTTTCATCGCTCAGTCTGGAGCTCTAAGCAGCAACGAGAGGAGACGAAAACATCAAACGCCAGAACACGAGAGAGCGGTTCAACTACAGCTGGAGACCGTTCAGGAATGAAATATCTACGAATCAGATTGGTCTGGCAGACCTCACCCTGACCCCAGGCTGCTGGATTTGAGTTTAGTAAAAAAAAAAAAAAAAACGTTTGTTTCTTAAATTTGAGACAAAACGATGAGAATGAAGTCAGACTGCAGATAATAGAAATTAAGAAATTTAAGTTCAAAGGTCATGATGATTTCCCAGGTGTTTTGTTTTGATGCTTCTTATTCATTCACAGCTGACCCCTCCCATCCAACACACACACACACACACACACAAACACACACACACACACACACACACACACACACACAAACACACACACACACACACACACACACACAAACACACACACACAAACACACACACACACACACACACACACACACACACACACACACACACACACACACACACACACACACACACACACACACACACACTGAATTTTCCCGACAGATTCGTATAATTTCTCTTCAGGGTGCTCTATAAAAATCACCCCTTCATGTGCATCTAAACAGCCAATCGTGCTTGGTTGCTAGGGAAAAATAATAAACCTTCGGCCAATCAGCATAACTGCATTTGGGGCAGCAGTAGTTTAGGAGGTAGAGTGGGCTGCCCCATGATCCAGCTCCCGCCAGGGGTATCCTGCTGTTGTGTCCTTGGGCAAGACACTTCACCCAACTTGTCTGTGTTAGTGGTGGTCAGAGGGGCCGACGGTGCCAAATGGCAGCCTCACCTCTGTCAGACCTCCCCAGGGCGGCTGTGGCAACATAGTAGCTTACCATCACTAGCAGTGTGTGAATGTGAGTGCGTGAAGGCATCTTTGAGTGTCCTAAAAAGCGCTGTATAAGTTTGATGTATTATTATTATTATTATTATTGCATTTAATGTCCTGAGGGCGCTTAAGTCAAATATGTGTTGAGTTAACCAACTCAAACACGTCACAGGCGTGTTAAAGCGCATTTTTTTAAGATTCACTTTGATTAGCAGGCTAAGCTAACGGACGCTAACTGCTCACTGGCCACGAGGATTTGTTTTTGAACTGAACAGACCGATGTTCTTCATCAACATGTCAGAACTTCAGCGCTTGTGCTGTTATTAATTAATTACTGTAGGACTTTAGTTTGAGTCGTTCATCAGAACGCTGAAACCGAATGAAGAACTCTCTTAGCCGTACCCAGGAAGTTTTCCGCCCACAGCTGATCTGAGAGGAGAATGAGGTTAGTCGTAACAAGTTCAGACCTTTAAATCAGCAGATTGTAAGTGAAAGCCTCAAACAGCGGCATTCTGTAGGTCTTGGTGCGTTGTTTCATATCTAAGTGACCAGTCTTCTAAAACAAAGCATGTATTTATTGGGCTGCTGTTCTAACTGGCTCTGTGTCAGTGCAGGAGCATGGTGGTGACCGTGGCTCAGAACGGTGCCTAACCCACTGAGGCGGTCTGGTGTTGAGGTTGTTCCGACGTCACGGATCAACCCTGAAAACATGAATTCTTTAGAACAACAAAAGCAGATATAGAAGCTCAGTTCACACAAAGAAAACCCTCCTGAGGTAGTTTATCACACAGCTACTGACCCTGCTGGACAGGACGCTGTAATCCTCATCACAGCCATCCCTCTGGAAGCACAAACACAAAACTAATGAGCGGGTCAGGATTCTGCTCGGTTCTTACGCTCATGGACTCATCTCCACATACATCTTTCTCTTTGTGTTTATGCTTCTTCTTTCTTTTTGACTTCTTATGCAACGAGGAGCCCTTGGAGGAGAGAGAGACACCAGGAAAGTGTTTTAACCCAAACCAGAGCGCCAACACCAGACTAAAAACACATCACACAGAGCAGGAAGTAGATCCAGCAGGTAAAACCAGAGCAAAACGAGGATTTCAGTTGCTTTATGGCATCACAGCAGCAAACACTCATGCAACAATCCCAACCTCAGATTATTCTCATCATGCATGTAATGAAAACGACAGGGTTTGGGGAGAGTTAAGCTTCTGATAAAATGTCAGACGTCATGGCAATAGCATAAACGATTTAAACATCACAGCCGAAGAGAAAATAATGAAAGATTTAGTGAAATTCATCCAAGGGAAGACATGAGCCTTAGGGGTTCATCCATACACATCAATCAGGTCGATGATGTAGCCCCGCCCCCTCTCTGAAGTAAAATCATAACCCAGAGTTAAACGGGTCTTACAAGTGATGTCACACTTCACATTACACTTTGACCTTTATGACCTTTCCAAATTTCTCCAAACCATCCTTACTTCCTGCTCTTTGTGTTGCAATCTCAACCGTTACCATGGTAACCCTAACAAGCCACTGAAGGTTACGATGACGATGAGCCTAATGAGCCACTGGAAGCAGCTTTAACATTTGTGTGGATCTAGTTTGTCTCAGCATATTTACTGTTTAAGTCCAACCTTATACCCGGACTTTATTAATGCTGCTTTAAATATTGATGTTATTAATATTTAATTTGATCAGAGTGGCGTTATTTTTCTGGGATGAAGCACAAACTGTGACGAACAGATTTGATAGTTTCAGGAATAACTCATGAAGTCCTGGAACATCTCATGATTCTAAAACCTTTCAGTTAAAATGTGTTTGACCCAGAACACCAGAGCATGCGTGATTAGTCACAAAACACAGACCCTTACCCCCCCGCCGTACGCCCCCACCGAGTCCAGGTCTGACTGCTCAGAGCAAAACACACAAACTTTGTCTTTGTGACTCAGAAACAGACCTGAGGTCAGACCTCTGGGAGGATTGAGTTTTTATTCTATGCAAAGTTGAAATGGTACTGACCCGGACGCTGCCGCGGCTTCCCACCGACATCCGCTCGTCATCGTCTGACAGCTGCGTGGAGAGAGAACGGGATGTTAGAGTCCAGGGAATCAACACGGACAAACGAGAAGCCTGAGAGGGATGTTCAGACAGAGCCGGGAAGCAGGAGGAGGAATACAAACCGTCAGTATCCGTGAGGAACGAGAGTACTTCTCACTGTCCTCCTGATGAGGCAGAGGAGGAGAAACGACCAGGAGAAGGAGAGATGAAGGAGGAGGAGATCAATAAAACAAAGGATGAAGAAGAAAACCTGATTTTTTTTAGAAACTAAGAGTGCATTAAGATGCATCACTATAGCCACTCGTGCACACACCTAGGACTTAACCAGCCGGAGGGTTGCACCCTCAAATCACCAAAATAATATAAAACAAAACAAATCGGTCCGATTAGGACTAGAACATGCATACACGTGAAGGACGGGACGAATCAGCTGATCCCATCTACGAGTGCGTGCACGTTTCATGTAGCTACATCTAGTACACGTCAAAAGCATCAGGGTGAAAGTTCAGGACATCATTCAGCAGGAGCGGCTGCTTCTGAACGAGACTAAAGAAAAGTTTGATCTGCAGCAGCAGCGGAGCAAAATGAACTATGGCAAGCTATTACATCATTAAAGTGTGCACTGTGGAGTTTTCTGCTGCGAGGAGAGTTATGGTCTGTTTAATCACACATTTCACTTCTTTCTGCAAACAACTAATTAGCTTTTCTCTTAAATATCTGACAGTCGGCGGTTCTTCATAATGAAATTCCTCTAAACTGGAATCTGAGATCCAATAAAAACAAGCCATAAAGGAGAATTATGTTTGTTTTTATTGTCTCTGCATATTTAGTTGAGTAACATCTGTTTTCATCTGGAACAAAAGCATTAATGATTCAGGACGCTTACGCCAGCGGTGAGAGCGCCTTTAGAGGAGGAAATAAACACAGTTATGAGTTATTTACCACAATATTTGTTTCGTAAACACATAAAACAATCCCACACAGCAAACTCAAACCTGATGCTGTTGTTCAATAAATAAATCTGTTAGTTTGTTTAAACACACCAACGGGAGTCAGGGTGTGGTGCACAGGAGCAGGTTGTGTTTCAGAGCCGATCAGGAAGGGCGGCAGGAAGAGACACACACACACACAAGCACAGAAACGCTACCATCCACTGCTCAATATCGCCCCATTGGTGGTCCACTCGCTCGTCTAGTTTGGTGTTCAAGCCGTAATATTTCTATGGAGAGACGGGAGGCGAGGGCAAAGCAGAAAAGTTAGATCGTTCTCTGGGATTAGGCATCAGTGAAATGATGTCTGGGAAGGGAAGGAGGAGGAGGAGCCTACCTTCTGCACCTGAAAGATCTAAACAGCAGCAGCACGGAGACGGAGAGGAAGAGAAGACAGGAAAACAACCGTCAGCTGAGGAAACTGAAACCGGTTAATGGGATGAGAGGGATGCTGTGGCTGGCATCGGCCACAGAGCATCATGGGAAAAGTTTACATTTATTGTAGCGAGTTATAGAAGACGAGCTGCTCTAACGCTGGAACATCGATCTGCAACCCGCGGCTCCGGGGCCTTATATGGCTGCTAGTAGCTTCAAACAAAAACCAAACACATAATTATTACTTTATTCTTTATTAATAACCACAACATAAAAAGCCAGTTTAGCCATTTTCTGTCTGCTTTTATGCAAATCTGTGATTTAAATGTGAAAATCTGCCTTTTAAACCAACTAAAGTCCAAATTTACACTCAGGATTAAAACCAGACACAGAAACAAGACAGAAAGGAAAGCTGAGGTTGGTCAGAACATAAGAAACCCCAGAACCCGCTGGTGTAAACGTTTATCAAAGTCACATGACTCGCTGGGTAATTCAGGGAAAGTTTGTGATTGGCTGAACATCCCTTTAAAGGTCAAATCACCATAAAACTCCAACTTTTACTTGTTTATGCTGAAGCAACCAGTGTTTTCCAGCTATGAGACAAAAACATTTACTGGTAAATAAAAACCTGAGGCCGACCCAAAACAACACACTCCATCCCTGCTGCTGCTTTCCCATCCCAACATCCCACCTCTCTAATCCAGACTTACAAACTCCTGCCCGATACACGGATCGGCTGCTTGGTCAGAAATTAGGTTTGGAAAACCTCTTTGTCAAACTCATTAGCAAAGCTTCGAGAACCAGAGCCGGCTGACCTCCTGGCCTCTCCAGTTGTGGGCGTGGAACAGAAAAAACATTCCAGACGACAACTCTGAGCATTTTCCAAACTGACTCTGAGCCGGGTAGGTCAGGACTTCCTAATGCAGAGTCACAATAAAGACCAGTTTCCACTAACTCAGCATCTTTTTGCTGCTCTTCTCATTTTCCTGTAAATAAAAACCATCCTAAACCCAGCAGGAACGTTCCCAAACAGACTAAAAACGGAGTAATTACCGATGTCTGGACAGCCCATTAGCCGTTAAATCCCGATGCCATCTTAAGTCCATTCATAAAACCACTTAAACAATCAGAACACCAGTTTGGGCTCGCAGGCTTTAACTCACCAAGCTTCCCTTTTTACCCAGTGGGGCCCTCGGGCACCCGATGAGGGCGGCCCTCAGCCCCCTCCCCGTCAGCCGACGCCCGGCCGTCCTGCTGCCGTCAGGGAGGCAGGAGAGCCAGGATCATCTCCAGGAGTCAGCAGGGAACGCCACAACCCAAACCCAGCATGGAGGGATTCCCGGTGAAAAGGCTACAAAAGCAGCAGTCTTCTCCTGCTTTCTGGCTTCAGCGGGAGAGGAAACATCCAGGAATCCCAGCGACGGCTCGTGACGTGAGTCAACACAACAATAACGGCTCGACTGCAGGCTGGAGCAGAGAACAAGCTGCTAATCTGCTTTAAAGGTCACACATTCTGACCAGACTCAGATTAGCAATCCAGAACAGTCCACGCCAACATTTGTGCACTCTGTGTGTGTGTGTGTGTGTGTTGGACCCATCGACATATAAATATTGGAGAATGGGTTTCCATAGCCTCCAATAACTTGTTTTTGAAGAAAAATGGGAGGTGGCCACCACCGCCATTTTGACCGTGTCACAGGTTCCATCAAGCCCAGACAATTCCACAAAAGGGATGAGAGGTGGAGCTGAGGGCGGGGCTGTAAGGCTGGGATCAACTGACGACACCCGGTCGAACTAGCTACAAGCTAACGCGGAGGTGGGAGCTAAGCTAACGGAGGTAGCCACCTAGCTACAACCGGAGTTAACTGTGCACAACACCAGAGCTTCGGAGTCAGAGATACGCCGGGCTGACCGCTGGTCAGAACACCAGCTTGGGCTCGCTGGCTTTAATTCACCGAGCTTCCTTTTTTACCCAGTGGGGCCCTCGGGCACCCGATGAGGGCGGCCCTCAGCCCCCTCCCCGTCAGCCGACGCCCGGTCTTCCTGCTGCCGTCAGGGAGGCAGGAGAGCCAGGATCATCCTCCATGAGTCAGCAGGGAATGCCACAAACCAAACCCAGCATGGAGGGATTCCCGCTGGTGTCTGCTGGGTAAAACCGGGTGGAGCACAGAGACCTCCACAAGCCGGCAGCTGCACAGCAGACAAGCGCCGCTGCTAATCTGAGATGCATGGAGCTGCCGCTGGGGAGAACCGGGTGGAAAGGTTTCCATCCAGAGCTCCACAAGCCGGCAGCCCGCGCAGCAGACAGAAGCCGCGATCAGACAGAGATGCGCCGAGCTGCGGGGAAGCGAGAACCGGGTGGAAAACATCGGTCTCCCGAGAGCTCCACAAGCCGATAGTGGGAACCCAGCTCCACCAACATTTTATATTTCAACCCATTTTCTAAAGTGCAGCATTATGTTAAATGCACTGGGTTTTACCCTATTACATTTACATTTCATGGTTAAACAGTACATGTTAACATCTAAGCTCAGCTCGGCAGTGACCTAAAATACATAAAAATAATTTTACTTACCGAAAAAAAATGAAGTGGAGACTCCTTGGACGCTCTATTAGTGCAGTTAATGCCACAGCAAGTCATTTTGTCCAACAATTGCACAAAAAATATCCAAACAAGAATACACAAACACAGAGACTCAAAATCCCGGAACAGTTTCCAGGCCAGATCGAGGCTCTACTGAGGCCTTCCCACGGAGCTAGCTCTGTGGTCACGTGGGTCTGATGCTCATTAATTATACAGAATTTTAGGCTTTTAATACACTTAAACAGAAGAGTGAGAAAAAAATTCACCCCCCTCAGAGTTGTCATGAGTGTAAACTAGATCATTTAAACCAAAACCATGTTCTGGTACCAGGCTGTAAACATGTTTATTTCTGCTGTGAAATTGGTATTTTTAACATGGGAGTCAATGAGGATTTGCTCGCTTCAGACACCAGCCCCTAGTGGATGAGGGTGTAACTGCAATTTTTGGTACTTCCGGGTTGACTCAATTTTTCACCTGCATTGTGGGGGCTCAGTTGGAGCACAGAACAACAAAGTGGTTTGTTAAAAATCTCTGGATAAATCACCAGAGTCCGGTCTCTATGACGATGACAATGAAAATACATTTATTCTTTATTCTAGTGGAACCCTGTTGATGCTTTATGTTCTAAACCAAAAACCCAAACAAAACCAAATCTAGCTCAAAGGATTCGTCCAAGTTTTATTTCCCTGAGAATCTGAAGGAATCAGAAAAAGAATTTATTTCCCAGCCAGGTTGTTCCTACAGACTTTTGTAACCTGGATGCATCCAAACATTTAAGGTTTTTCTCCTTTCACATTTTCTTTAGCAGGTAAACAGAAAAAACTACAAACGCGAACTAAACTCGTTCCTCCGAACAGAAGGAAACAGAAAGTTCAGCAGAGTTTGAATTTACCTGCTCTCCAGGTAAGTCCAGGCTTAAGGATGTTAAACTGAGAAAATGAGCTCGGAACAAAAGAACTCAGGAACCTGAAGGAGTTCAGTGTCAGCAGGTGAGAGGCCAACGGCTGTTTGTGTGTTTGAGATTACACCCAGCTAAAAATAGCAAGCTCGGAAAGTCTGAGAGCCTCCTGTAGCGCAGATCAGATGATCTGAACCAGAAAACACACACGCACACAACCCCCCCCCCCCCCCACACACACACACACACACACACAAACACACACACACACACGCACACAACCCCCCCCCCCCACACACACACACAAACACCCCCCCCCCCCACACACACATGCACACACACAAGCACACACACACACACACACACACACACACACACACACACACACACACGCAAACACACGCACTCACACACACACACACACACACACACAGAACAGAATCTCTGCGAGGAGCCAAACAGCTGCTTGGATCGGAGTGCGCATGAATCAAAATGAAGTTTGATTGCTTTGGTCTGATTAACTCAGAGATTAAAAGTAGGCAGATAACAGAATCCTTCACATCTTTGCATGAATCAACTTCATCGTTAAACCATGTTTGTATAAATATTTCACTTAAATCCTCCTGAAACAAAAACAAACGTTGAGTTTTCGGTTCAGTTCTTGGCCTGAAATGATTGTAAACCAGATGAGTTTTATGTTTAGTTAGTTAAAAAAAATTGTTACGGTTCAACTTCATCAGGTCTGAGGTGACGCGGGTTTCATCACCTTGTTTCCGTTCTGACCACTAGATGTCAGTAGCTGTTACACACTGGCCCTTTAAACTGTTTATTGGTGATTTGTGATGAACTGAAAACAACCAGACTGATGCTTGTTTCATGACATCATTCGTGTTCATCCATCACACCTCGGGTTGCTTCATGTGACCTTAAAAAGGTCAGACCTGGGACCTTTGACCCACAGGGTCAGGAATGCTCTGACAGGAAACTACACAAAATCCTGGTTTTTAAATGAGGTTTTATGTAAATATGCAGATGTAAGTTTAGTTGCTTTTAAAAGTCACTCATGGGTTTTCCGACTTTACCTCTTTCTGTTGGCGCTCCAGCTCCTTCATCCGGATCTCGCGGGCCTCGGCTCTGGCTGCCCTCTTCGCTGCCAGCCGGGCCTCGGCCTGGAGACAGAAAACAGCGAGGTTAGTTTAGCTGAACGGAGATAAATGTGATGCGTCTGACACATTAGGCCTCCTGATGTCAGGATCACGCTCTAACACGGTTCTATAAATACAACAGAACACATTTTAATGGCCAGTGAGTCTTTCTGTAGTTTCCTTTTCTCCACTCAACTGTCAGGCTGAGCTGGGCCTTTCTCCTTAAAAGGACCTCTCTCTGACTGTAGTGTGTGTGTGTGTGTGTGTGTGTGTGTGTGTGTAAGCATTTCCTTCCTCTAATTTTGCGATAGTTGCTGTGTGGTTGCAGTCTTCCTGGCTCAAAGCACAGTGACTGTTGCACTAATGCACATCAGTCACCATGACTGGTGAAACACACACAGCATTTTATAAATAAATAAAAAAAATTGGACTTCCTCACAGAGATCAACGCACGATAAAAATAAACAACTCTGTCTGTTAGTTTATGGTCATTAGCAGCATGACCAAGCCATCTGAAGAAACATTCTGATCCATAATCCAGAGCTGTGGGATTAGATTACACCCATCTAAGAACTGAATTAAACAGCCTTTTATTGTCATGGACTCAAAAACAACCATGATTTATTTCAGCAGGAGTTCATTGGTCATCTGGTTGGATCAGGCTTGGATTAAAGCACAGGTGAGACCAGATTTAACGGGGGACACATTTTGACAACACTGGTTAGCCCACTCCTAAATTGGGGCGGATCTGTTCATAAGCAGAAGGAACCCAACATGTATTTATTTTTTTACAATAAAAGGAGAGACCAGATTTTAGCAGCTACTGCCCCCTGCTGGTTGGACATGTCACTGAATGAGGAGGAGAAAACGTCCGCTGCACACATCCAGCATATTTATGATTAAGCTCTAAATTACAACAATACCTGAAAATGGTTGTGCACTGACCCAGCCCCACAGGAGCTCAGAGGGTACGTGAGCTAGCGTTAGCCTCACTTTAGCTAAACATCAAAACACACGAGGACTACAAAGTCGTTACAGCTTCATCAGCCCAAGGCAAACCCTTTCTAAGGGTTTTAGATTATTCATCACGTTTTTCAATCCATCTTCTGTTCTGGGTTCCAGCGGGGCGGGCTACCTCACCTGCTCAGGTGTGCTCACCTGTAACATGTCTCTTTGGAATAACGCACAATCACATTACACAGATAATGGAAACAACCTGTCTACATACTCCTGTTCTTGAGATGCACCAGCTCTGGGAGTTGGTACCAATCTCGGAATCTTTCAATAAACCAGCATTCCCAGAACAGCTGCTGATAGGGGGAAATGAGTAATGAGTCATCAGTTCTGTTATTCGAGTTTCCCTCTGCAGGATCGTAATTTTTATACGTTGTCACTAAACTCTGTCAAGAGTTCATCTGGTGGAGTTCAAACGTGGGAGAAGACAGAATTGATCAGGATGAGGATGTTGGTTTGAATCCGTCACAGCAGGAAGCTCCGAAGAGGATCTGAAAATCAGGTTTTATTGTTTCATCTGGAGGATTGTTCCACCGACACGGAGGAGACAGACGTCCTCAACTTTCACCAAAGCTGTCTCATAACAAACCGCACAGACAGTCATTTAACCACGGGAACAGGAAACACGTTTCCATAAGAACAGACGGGAGGTTGGGATTATGACAGGAAGCAACTTTTATAATCAGGAAGGTCAAAGACGGAGTTTCAGAGAATTCTATCATTCAGAAAAAAAACATCTCCTGCCAGAACGGAAATGTGACAAACGCTCTGGTTTTCTGACACATGCTCTCTCTCTCTCTCTCTCACACACACACACACACACACACACACACACACACACACACACACACACACACACACACACACACACACACACACACACACACACACACACACACACACACACACACACACACACACACACACACACACACACACACACACACACACACACACACACACACACACAGCTCTGTAGCATCTACAAATATTTTGTCAGGTGGAGTTTGTAGCTCCACCCACCAGGGACGTGGAGCATCCTCACAACCATCAGCAGCTCAGGAGGTAGAGTGGGATGTCCCGTCGTCGGAAGGCTGCAGGTTGGATCGGAGGGACTGGTGGCGCCAGTGTTCGGCAGGTCTCTTCTCTGTCAGTGGCTTGCATGGTAGCTCACTTCCACCAGCGTGTGAATGGGTGAATGACTGTGTTGTGAAGCGCCTTGGGGGGTTGCAGAACCACAAGAGGGCGCTATACAAATACAGGCTGTTCACCATTCACAACAACAAAATAAGAGCATAGAGTCAACATGAAATAATATTTATTGATAACAGGTGACTTTTTTGGCTGCATCCAGAGTAGCATCCTCAGAACAACTCAGAACTTCCTTTAATCCTTCAAAATAAGAGTCTCTAACACAAACACCTCAAAACATCTATGGCACATAAAAAACTAATACTTTTGTCTATTAAAAGTCAAACAGAGAACATTATTAATGTTAAATAGACATGAGATGTTTTATTATTTCTGATGAAAAAGAGTCAGAATCTTATTTTTATTTTCTGATGATTTTTGTTTTTTTCTAAACATTTGATGAGTTTTAATCCCTTTTTGATCTCAAACAAGACAGTTTGTATTGAACCCTTCAGCTGAGAGCTTGTTTTAGTCCAAACAAGCAAAACAAACTAAAATACACCAACACTATGAAGAGGTTTGAATTGAGTTGAACTTAGTGATGTCATCAGACCTGATCCCCACATCCCTTCAAACCACTGAACACCTTTTACTGGTTTCTTATCTGAGATGCACCGAACTGGGCCAGACCCCCCACCCCAGCTATTTATACTGACCCACATGAAATCAGGTTTGAATCTAGCCGTTCTGATTTCTGTCTGACGTACGTTGGACCTCGTGAGAGAAAACAAGCCAGATCCCTACAGGAACGGCTCCGACCAGCCGTGTCACCACGGCAACAGAGGAAAACTGGTTTTGTTATCTCAAATACCCGATCTTATCTTTCTATTCTGTTGTTAAGAGTTAAAAAGAACCAAAATACAAAAACAATTAGGTCAAACATTACCAGATTTCAAAGTCATTGTAGAATTATTTATATATCTATAAAATTTTTAAATATAAAAAATATATTAAAAAATGCACGAATGGTTTAAGTTTCTCAAAGGTTTCCAGCATTCCCATTAAGGCCATGCAAAGTGTCCAGGACTAAATACCAGCAGGGTCTAATCATCCTCAGAGACCTGGGTTCTCACGGCCTCCCTGACAGAGCAGAGAATATTTTAAGGGCCATGAGCGCTGACATGCTGCACAATCGCAGCAGATAAGAACAACAGATCTCGGAGTAAAAAAGACCCAGAAGATTAAAAAAATGTTCCATGTTTGGGAAAAAACACAAAAGAAGGAAGAGCTGCAGGTTCTACAACATCTGCATCAATACGAGGAGGAGGCCCTCAGCAGAGGAGACTAAACTCTGAACTACACTTAAGTTGATGTGGGGGGGACTTGCTCTTTAATCTGGGTCTGGGTGAATAAACTGGTTTCCAGCATAATGCATCTCCTGGTGAAAGTTTCTAGTTTTCTTAACATCATGTAGGTACTGAGGAATCCATCCTGGGTGTGGAGCATCTTGCTGGAGATCGGAGGAGACTAAACGCACAGCCTGGTTATGGAAGTTGATGGTATTCCAAAGATCACAGGCTTCAAGCAGAGGAAGGATTGCACAGATGGCAGCCTGGACACAGCCAATGAACTGAACAAGTTCTTCAATAGGTTCAGTTCAGCAACAAACCCAGCATCCTCCTCGCCTGTCCCCAGCCAGTCAGACATCCCATCCTCCTCTGATCCAACATTTTCCTGTCACACGCCAGCTCTTTTGTCCTCTAACACAGTCATGGACTCTTCTGGTTCTATAAATCTGTCTTCAACCAAGTCAGGAGATGCTGCTGCCCCATTTACCTCCCCCCCGACCAATCTGTCTCTAGAAGTCAGCTGAAGAGGCAGCTGGAGAGACTGAACAGGAACAAGGCTGCAGGTCCAGATGGTGTCAGCCCCAGAGTACTGAAGGCCTGTGCAGAGCAGCTCTGTGGGATTCTGCAGCACCTCTTCAACCTCAGCCTGGCCCAGGAGAAGGTTCCAGTCCTGTGGAAGACAGCCTGCCTTGTTCCAGTTCCAAAGAAAACTCGCCCATCAGTCAATGACGCCTTCAGACCGGTTGCTCTGACATCCCACATCATGAAGGTCCTGGAGAGACTCCTAGTGGTCCACCTGAATAAGTAAACTGGAACATATCAGGACCCGCTGCAGTTTGCTTATCGCCATGGAGTTGGAGTTGAAGATGCCATCATCCAGCTGCTTCAACCTACCCACTGTCATCTGGACAAAGCAGGCAGCACTGTGAGGGTCATGTTCCTTGATTTCTCCAGTGCATTTAACACAATCCAGCCTGATGTACTTTGCCAGAAACTCCAGAAGACACAGGTGGGGGCCTCGACTATCGCCTGGATTAAAGACTACCTGACAAACAGACCACAGTTTGTGAGGCTGAAGAACAGCACATCAAACCAGGCGATCAGTAACATTGGAGCACCACAGGGGACTGTACTCTCACCATTCCTTTTCACCCTGTACACCTCAGACTTCCAGTACAAGTCAGAGACCTGTCATCTACAGAAATACTCAGATGACTCTGCAGTTGTCGGGTGTATCAGAGATGGACAGGAAGCTGAGTACAGAGAGCTGGTGGAGCGCTTTGTGGCATGGTGTGGAAACAATCATCTGACCTTGAACGTGAACAAAACAAAGGAGATGATTTTAGACTTCAGAAGAAACAGGGTGGAGTCAAACACTGTTTCCATCATGGGAGAAGAAGTGGAGGTGGTTGAGGAATACAAATACCTTGGAGTTCACCTGGACAACAGACTGGACTGGAGAAAGAACGCTGGTTACGTATTGTAACCCCAGATTCTATGAGTCTAGTCGCAGCCCTTAAGCTAGCTGCT